GTACTCAATAAGAAAAACAACAGAGAAAACCTACCTAGTTAAAAAAAAAAAAAATGACCCATGCCCTAAGCAAAATTTCTCTATCAAGTCTTCTCCTATAACTATCTGGTCCAGGATACATCCCAAACATCCCATACCACCCATGTATTCATCTGAGAAGGTGAGGGAAGGACACACAAAACCACACAAGATCACTCATAACAAATTTTCATTTGTCAGTCAGGGACAGTATTTTGAGATTCTTTAGCAGAATTTTAGATTTTTTAGCAGAAGCCAATGCAAATCCTGAGCAACTTCAACTCTTGTTACTTTCTATGCACATACAGAATGTTCACAAATATATACACATACAAATTTATATGCATATACAATGGCCTTCTGTTTGTCAAGACTCCAACTGGAAGATGACACATTTTTCATGCTATCATTACAGTAAGCCTTTACAAATTTTCCACAGCCTCATACTATGCCAAAAATTAGAAGTAGTGACTGTATTCTTGTCAAAAAGGAATTCACATTTACGTGTAATCCTACAGGCAAAACACAGATTATTAAGAGGAGGAAAAGGCTGGGGGGACAGCAGGGTGCCTGGTCAGCTTTCATGGATCAAAGTTTCTTCTGCAATAAAGAAAATGTATACCCCCTCAAACCATATACAGTATTCTGCTCTGCAGCTCAAAAATCCTTGTTGCCATGGGAACTGCAAAAAAGACAGTCATGTTATAGCAAGGCTATAACAGAAACATGTCTGCTGGGAAATTACCAGTAGTCCAGGATTTCATATCAAAAATGCTTGGGTATTTTCAACCTGAAAACATAATGTTTCCTCAAATCTTACTTCCAAACTCCCTTTTCACAAATATTTTGGAAATTTTTACTAAAGTCTGCTCACATATACATATTGTTTACACAAAATAAGGTAAGCAAATCAGTGTTTAAAATGCACTATAAACAATGCAAGAATACCAACTCATAAATATGTCTTTTCCAGACGCACTTGGTACAGAGAGCACAATAATGATTTACATTGCTCAGTCCATCTACACATAGGACAAAAACCAGATTTTAAAAAAAAAAAAAAAGACCAAAGCACTTGATACTTGAAGCACACACAAAAAAAGAATATTGCATAAGTCAGACTGTATAAAGCGAGATTTATAATGCAATTGTTTAAAAAATATTTCAAGGTTAGTTATACATGGAATTTGCCCTTTGTATCTGTGTTTTCACCAGGTAACAAAAATTAATGTTTGATTACTGAAATAGAATATCAAGGCTTTTGAGAAGGCAGTTGGCACTTCAAAGCAAAGTGAAAAATCAGTGTCAAACCTAGAGCGATGCAATTCCCACTTGAACACAAACAGTTCCCTAAGTGTGAATAAAGAAAAACAACACACTGATCAAAGGAACCATGTAATAACACAGAATTCATACTATCAAGCATACCCTTTTCAGAACCCCATTATGATCTTACAGAGGTGCTAGATTTATTTTCCTGTCAAACATGGATGTGATATAAAATGTCTCGGGAACACCACATGAAAAGTACTACATAGAAATGCTGTTAAAATGAGGTGACCTCTAGGCCATATGCTGATTTGTAACACAACAGTGACGTTGGGAAGAACCCTGGAGAAAAAAAAGCTTCGCAGAACAGTATCTACAAAAATTGCTTTTGCATGTCAAAGCAGCCTCAGCATATATTTTAAATACATTTTTCGTTTAATGTTGTAACTACTTGAGTATCAGATTATGACAAACTGCTTTAAAAAGAAACCTTGGAAACTAAATACAAGTCTTATCTGCAGATTGGTTCACAGTTTCAGATGACTGAAGAACTGTGAATTAGGAAATACATTCATTTTTATCTGTTCTTAAATACATACTTTCTTATCTGTTCTAAAAACGCTTGCTTATCGGAAAGCACATTATACAGAACATAGCACCGGTAAAACCAATTAGTTTTGATAAACTCTTTATTTCATCACCCTCCCCGGAGCACAAATTAGGGCAGCTCCCTACAATGTAGCCATGCCCACTCTTTTTTCTGACCTAGCCTGCAGACCCTGGCAGAAACTGTACAGGTCTTGGGAAATGCTTTGACAAATCATCAAGTAACTGAGGATATTCAGAGTAACAGAAGACACTTCCAATGGAGAGCACACTCACCTGGAAAATGCAACAGGCTTTTCTTTTTTACCTCTCAAAGCCATACAGTAAACAGGGCGATGATGGGTGGTGGTGTATATGACATCTGGTTCTTTATTATGGCTTGCACGCATTGAAAATATATTTAAATTGGGCTCAAGAAGTCAAGCAATTCATAACAGCAAAGTGAAGCTGTGTGCAGTACTTTTAAAGGTAAAATTTTATATTCATAATAGCATGGTAGTATTCATTGGGCAAGTTTTTAAAATTAGCAAAAACACAAGTGTGTTTTCCTCAGAGGTGACCGGTGAGGAAAACTGACGGTGGAGTAAGAAAGTAACTAATAGAATACAACAAAATATACTACAAATAGTGAAAAACAGGAAAATATTTAATCTTCTAGATTGTTTTGTCTGCATATACCAGTCCTTCACTTAACACTGCATCTATTTGATGAGTCATTCTTACAGTAATATGGATGCTCTGCATTTCTCAGATTCATACAAACGTTAGGCAGACATCTTTCCCTGCCAGGGACATCCAACTCCCCTTTCCCTCTGCCTCAGTCTCTCCAAATTAGTCACCATCAACCACCTGAAGAAAAGTCCCCTATTTAGCTGTTTAGAACAGAACTCAAACCACAGCTGAGCCCCAATCAGCCCCCTCTCCACCTGGAGCAAACAGATCAATGTATTACATCACTGCCATAACATCTGTCTATGGTTAAAGTGAGCTGCTACTTCTGCTACTGTACCATCGGTGTGACAAACACCAAGCCAGGCTGTATTCTGATCCGAAGCCTCTCTACAAAGCCCTTTGTTTCCAAAGCACAACAATTTACAATAGTGGATGTGCGTTGTAACAACACAATTAAAGCCTCCTGCAGTTGCTTATTGCTTATTTCCCCCCCCAGGCGCTGCTATGCAATCACAAAGGTAAAAAATTATTTTAAGTTGTCATTAGAGTGACATAACGATAAATTCACAGTAAGGTAACTTTGCATGCTGCAAGACTTTCTCATTTAGTATGCAAGCAAGGGTCCCCACAGAATGAAGCAGCCAGCCTACATTCAAGTGCTTTATATTCCAGAAATCAGAGACCACCCAACTCGGGTTACAAACACATTTCTCCAGGTTCAATCAAACTTACACCACATAGTGCAGAAAGTTCTGTTTATTTCATGATAAAATCTAAATAGATCTAAAGAGCTCCATCTAAGATATCTAAGAACATTTTTAAATAAAGGATGCTTAGCCACAAACAAACATAAATAGAAACAATCTCTGCATGTTCTCTGACTTTTCCCGCTCTTTATTGCATTTTCTATCTTAAACAAATGATAGATGAGATTTTAAGTTACTCGCCCTCAACTAGTGAGGTGTGTTGCTGGGCTATCCTGAACTATGCTTCATATATTAAAGACAAAAATAACATACTACAGCAAAAGCAAGTTAAAAACAGGCATAAAGAAAGGGCAGACCTTCCCATATAGTCAATTTCTAAAGGCAGTATTTTAGACATGACAATTACTATAGCTTGCTTTCCTCCGGCAAGACTAAACAGCACAGAAGTCTCCCTGGAGTTGCCCTGGGCTATGTTGCTCCAGCATCTTTGCCCTTGTGTCTTCCTTTACCACTCTCCAGGATAAATAAATTAAAATTTACAAACTTCTTAGAGCTTTGTTCATTTTCTACACATACTGTTTCTCCAATTTGCACATGAAAATGAATTTGCTGATGAAACAAAGGCAACCAATGTGAATGTGCCGTCAGTTGTGGTGGACTCTAGTTAACAAATCTTACACCAGTAAAACACATCCTCACTCAGAACTCTACAAAGTCAGGTGGGTACAATTCACCGGTACGAGTGAAAGAACACGGGAAACTGAGCACACCTTTCATCCTGAAGCAACCTGTTTATTCCTTAGCTCTACTAGTCCGTGCCAGCCACGGCCCCTCCTCAACAGTTTGCCTTTCCTGTCTACTTCAATCAGAAGGTGTTTCAGGCAAAAAAAAGACCTGGTGGTATCTGCTGCTCCAGAGCTTGCTGTGCTAAGCAGATCCAGAAGGTAGTTTCTCCCCCAGGACTAGCACAATCTTGCAGCAGCACAGGAGTTATCCAGAACCACGAAGCACACCAAAACCCTATGAAATGCCTCCCATCCATTCTGCTATCCCAGCGGACAGCTGTGGCTACACCAGGAGCCCTAAAGGGGTACTGTAGGCCATCTCACCTCACCCCCGTACACCTCAGGTGTCAGAAACACCAGGAATACGTGTTTTATAGGCCTGAATCCCGTAAATCTGTGATTTGCAGACAACTGTGCTCTCTGGGCAACTCAGACCCCCTCGTACACCGGGAGTTTGTTCTCCTCGCTCCAGGGCCAACACCGGCTGCACCTCTGCTCCACAGCCTCCTCTGCCGTTACAAACACCCAACGCGCCTCCTGCTCCTCACCTGAAAAACCGGTATTTCGGCTAATCCTGCCACCGCCGGGGTGAACCGGACCTGCCCTGGCCGCTAGGAATAAGGCGAGTAACGGTCGCCAGCGGAGGGCCCCGCAAGCGGCGCTTCCCGAGCTCCGGGGATGGCTGGCACCGACCGGCTCCCGAAGGCCGCTGCCCCCCCGCTCCACGCCACCCTCACCTGCCGCCGGGCCGCGGCCGCCGCCTCCCCGGGCCGCCCTCAGTAGCCGTTGGGCCGGTGCCGTCGCGCGCCACCTCCCCTCGCCAACCGCTGGGCCGGGGCCTCCGCCGAGCCGAGCCGCGCCCGCCTCCCGCCCGCAGCTCTCTGTCCGCCCCGGGGAACCAGCAGCCCTCGGCCTGCCCTCCCTTCTCCGGTGCTCCCCTTACCTGTCCCCGGCGGCTGCAGAAGCGGGCGGGTCCCGGAGCCCCCGATGGCGCCCGGGCTCGGAGCGGGCCCTCGCTACCTGCCCGCCCAGGAGACAGCCCCCAGCCGCCGCTCCATACCGCGCCGTGCTCGCCGTCCGAGCGGAGGAGGGGGCGGCGCTGGCCGTAGGCGCAGGGCGCGGAGCGGCCGGGGAGCGGCGCTGTGCCGTGGGGATGCCGCGCAGCACTCGGCCGCCGGAGCCGCGTCGCCGGGCAGCGGCCGGTTTGGGCCGGTGGCCTCACCGGCGGCACCCCTTCCCGCAGCTCAGGGCCCCGGCGGGGCGGGAGGCACAAGGGGGCCCGGGGAGACCCTCCCGGAGCGCCCGCTGCGGCTCTGTGAACAGCGGCAAAGGGAAAGGCGGATGGGACTGCCGGAACCGCGGAGCTCGAGCGTAGCGCGGGGGGGGGAATGTCCCTCTGTAACCCCGAGGGTGAAACGCAGGAGGTGGCGATGATGAATTCACCTGTGCGTAATTGAGCTCCGGTGTGTCAGCAGGTGTCTTTATTTTCAAAATAAGGGGGGGAGGGGGAGGGAACCTAAGCGAAAATATACCTGCTTGTCTGGTTTGAGGTATTTATTTGTTTGGTTTTTTGGGGTTTTTTTTTTTTATTTCTATTAGTCTTTTGTTAAGTATAAATCCAGCATGCTGATGATCTTCTGAATGGTCTAATTCATACAAATATATTTACCTGCATCTTCTTTAATACCCTTCCCTCCACAAAACCTACCAGCCATACCTTTGGTCCTTTTATTACAAAATTTTGAAATTCTCACACATCTCTTCCTATTTCAGAGCCTACCCTGACTACTGTGACTACTGACTTGTCATAGGCAGAGGTAAAAAAATAGCTAATTGCAACACTGCAGCACCGCTGTACTGTATCAGTATAGAAATACTCATTTTTGGAGTAAACTGTCTCAACACACCATCCTGCTGCTCCATTTTGAAGTGTTTCTGCAGGTCTGGGGTCCACACCCAGAGCTCAGCCTTACAGATCACACACATGATCGCGTACAGCTGCTTTTCCTGATACTCTACAGAGATACATGTCTGCACATCTATAATGATTATTAGTTTGTGCATATTTTCCTTAGCTTTTCATTTGTTCAGTGTATTCTACCTTCAAGGCATTACTTTACAACTGTTGAAATTTCTAGAAATGTGATCGCCACCTAAAAATTTGGTTCTGCTGCTTTCAGTGTCACAAATGCTGTTTTATTCAGAACCCATTTTAGCATGTTTTACAGGATCAGAGATGATTTTGCAACAATACAAATGACATCTCATTGTAAAGCATTGAGAAGATTGTCATGTGGCACAGTCACAAGAAAGCCTAATGACAATTTCTTGTCCCGCAATTTTTCAGGAAACTGCTTTGCATCTCAAAGTACAGGAAAAAGAAATACTTTGATACCAGGCATTTTTCCAACATACTTTCCAAGAAACTCATGAGGGATTCAGTAAAGGGGAAATAGATTAGATCATTTATATGCCACGACTGACACAATAAATACTTATTTATATTATTCCTCCCAAAATTCATCTCAGTTCCGCTGCCACCACTCGTGCAATGCCTGTTGTACACCTACCTCCTGTATTCTGGTATCAGCCCGTCCATGGGCAGGTACGTGTGACTCGAGGTGTATACCAGCTCCCTGGCAGTGAAAAGTACTGTCTGTAAATTCACCAGAGAAGTTTAAAATTATAGTATTTTTCACATTATAATTGCATTCAGCACCCTAAGATTAAAAAAACCACAACCCTACAAATTGGATGCTTTACCAAAACTTCCAGTAAAGTTTCTACTGACTTCTACCCCTCATCTTAAGGAAAAATAGTAAGTTATAAATATTTTACCAATTATATAGTAAACAAAATTTTTCTTACAAGACAAAGATAAGTCTTCACTTCAAATGTAAAATATCATTGAAATTATACATACTGATTTGCAGCCTTAATAGCTAGGTAGTTTTTTTAACATCTGTTCTGTTACTTATCTCAGAATACCTGACATGAAAAAAGGGTTTAAGCATCATGTACCCGTAAACATTATCTTACTATAGAATAGTTTTAAATTGGATTAATGACCTGAAGAGTGTGAGTGTAAATCATATTAAAGATCTTTCTGAAAGCTTCAATTTTTTTACTTTTCACACATTTACTATTATTATGAGCTTTAATTATTAGGCCTTATTTCTAACATTTTATATATTCGTATTCTATTTTCATAGCACTCTTGATAGCCAATAGTTTGTAGTGATGAAAACAAAGACAGAACAATTAAATACAATAAAAAATGAAAGTCTTTATTCTTTTGGCTCAACTGTAATGTGGTTTACTGTTCTTTATGGTAATAGCATTTTCCTGCATGCAGTTCACCGACACACAAGTCAATATTTTTGTAAAAGGAGGAGTCAACATCGAATTTTAGTTTGTGTAAGAAACACAAAATGTCCTGATGTGATCAATTATACAAGTTTGCTATTTAATTCCTGTGGAAAAAAAAACATTGTGGATCCCATATTATATTTAGAACAGTTCTAGTGCAGCATGAATCAACAAGAATAAGAATAGTCTATGTAAACAAACACTGGTAAAGATTTCATGAATAAAAAGACTACCTTGAAACTTCTGATGCAGGCAGTGCTAGAATTTTAAACAAATCTTTCCCACCACATTTCAATTACAAGTTATATCTATTTGGAAGCAAGTGCATTTTGGACTCAGTTTGAAACTTATTTCACATTAAAATGTGTGCAAAAATACAGTACTAATAAAAAAGCAGAAACCTAAAGCTACCCCATTCTTTCCTTTGTTTCTTATTTTGTGAAGTTCTTGAATTAAAAAGTGCTATGGATAGAAAATAACAAAAGTGACAGTGACATCAACCTGAAGATAATTCTCATTTCTTATTTTATGTACAAAACGCTGAAAAATAAAATAAAATGGTATTTTTTACAATATTTATATTTGCTTAGAAAATTCTATCCATGTATTTTTCAACAGATTAAGCAGTTTGCAACATATCCTGTACAGTCTGACTATACACCGTACAGTAGTTACTTAAAATTTAGAATGCAAAGCAAGAAGCTCTTAAATAGCTGCAAACTATTGCTTGATGTCATGAAAGAATGATGACCAATTGAATAATTTGTTTCACTTAACCACTGAGATATGGCTTCCCATATTAGACTTCAACAGTGGAAGGAGTAAAATTACAGCAGCAAAGGCAAGATAAACATGCATCAGTGATAGCTTCCAAACTATCTATAATGGTACAGAATACTTCATATTAGCTGTTGAAAGCTTGCAAACTACACTTACTGTGGTACATATTTGATGCAATAAATATTGTGCACAGGTCATTATTTGTTTGCTCAAACATGCACCACGGGATAAAATAACTATTTACATAGACGGTACTTTTTTAATCAACACATACAATGTCAACCTTGCTGAGAGCAGAAGATGGCTAAACGATACTGCAGGGTGAAGCAGAACAACTTCATAATCCTTAAGTTTTGCGGGTTTTTGGTAAATTCAATTTTCCAAGTTCGGGTAAGCTGTATTCTACAGAAGAATGCTTAAAAATGGGCTCTTATGTCCCTCAGTAAATTTTTTATGCAGAGTTCGTTCAACTATAGTTAAATGACTTATGAAAAAATAAAACATCTGTTCTATTATTGTAGACTCTATGGGACTTTACAGGCACATTAAGATTTGTCTGGATGAGATACTAGATGGATACTGTTATTAAGCACCTCAAAATATAGAGCCACCCTGAAACATGGAAGTAGTCAGACTCTGCTGCTTTGTGCGACGTCATGTTTTTTCATGCATGAACTACAAGTGCAGCATGCCTTCATGCAAATCACTTCTGTCTGTACATTATAGAGAATCCGCGAGTAGAACACCTGGTTCTCATACCCCCTTCCCCAACATAAAACCCATTTACAAAAATAGTCACATATAATAGTAAACAACCTGTGAATTAAAAAATGATAAGTTCACCAACACTGATTTTTGTAAAAATATGGCAAATGTGGCTGTTGAAATGCAAACAGTGGATACAATTTTTGTACTGCGTGTTTTATGTTAAACACAGAGATTCATAGGTTCGCACCTTTTCTTTTAAACTGGTCCCTACAGTCTGATTGGCCAATTTATCTTCTCTTCAGCAGTGTCAGCTGGTAATGAAAACAACAACCTCCTGTCAAGATGTTACCCTGTTTTACAGAGTTGCAGTTTGATGACGAGGGGTCACTGTCTTGTTATAGGCACTGACCTTTTATATATATATATAATTATATATATATTTATATATGTAAAAACTGTCAGTTTGGCATGTACCTCCTACAGGAGTCCTGTTGACACAAATACATACTTTTTCAGGCTGTAAACAGTTTATCACAAACAGAATTCTGTGTTACTTTTTACTTTCCCTGCTGTCTTTACCTTTATCTTCTTTTTCTGATTTGTCTTTTTCATATTTATCCTTGTCTGGCTTTGTCACACTATCATATGAGGGTGGGGAGGTTGTGGATGGGGTCATATCTGTTTTTTCTGGAGTAGAGTTCTCATTTAGTTTATCCATAATCATATCTTCTTTCATGGGCAGATCATCCTCATCTTTACCTTTATCCTGATTAAATATACATGAAACTTTTTTGACTTTTTGCCTTAAAAGATGACGTCTGAAAGCACGCTGAATAATGACAGCAGATACTTCCTCCTGTTTTCGTTTTAATGTGGTTGTAATTGGTTCATAGGAGACTTTAGAAGGATTGGCTGCCATAAACCGATCTTCCATCTGTATTCTGAGGGCGTCCATCTCCCCACTTTCCCCCAAAACACGCTTCGTGAAAGCAAACAAGATGTCAAGGCAGTGAATTCTGTCGCCGCTTACCATGGGCAGATCCATTGCAATAAGCTGGACTTTGTTTGGTTTTGCTATAAGAAGAGGAGGATCTAAAGATGCTGCAAAATCTGATAGCTTACTGAACTCTATGAATTGTGTTGCATCGGGATCAAACTTCTCCCAAACTTCATAGAACATCTCAAAGTCATCCTCACTCAAGGGTTCAGCGCTTTCT